CAGAGGGGTGCAGTTTGRGCTGTGGAAGCTCTTAGGGTGTGTGTGAGTACTGAAGACAAGGTGAGGTTCTGGTCAGTAAAGCAGGTAATACAAAGCTGTGCCTGCAGTGCCAGAAAGGGCATGGAACTTATAGGGATGTTGCAAGAGGTGGGGCTCAGCTGGAAGAGTGCAGCTCTTCTGTCTGTTTTCTCCCATGAACCAGCACRGCACAAGAAAGATGGATCAGGTGAGTGAGTGATCTTCAGCCTGTTACTGTGAGCATTTGATTTTCCCAGCTGGATCACACCCAACCTGCACATCCTTTGGCTGCATGACCAGCAGCTGACACTGGTTATGGAGCAGGATCGTGTGGCTGGGGGTGGAGAGGGTGAAGCTGCTGCCAAAAGGCCAAGTGCCCCCCATGTGTGTTGGGTTAAAGCTACTCCTGACCAATTGTCCAAAACTTCTGCTGTCTTTGCTCTCCTGAAGGAGAGTAGTCAGTGAGCACTTCAGGTTTTCTTCWTAATGGAAATGTGCAAACTATTTGTATTAAGTGTCAGGACTTAAAGGTGAACTACTTTTTTTCTTAGTGTTCACATGGAGGTTCTGCCTCCACAGGTGGAATGTACAGCTGACAGGAGCAATTTTCAAAGTCTCTCTGTGGTCTTCCTTAGGGCAAGACTTGGAGTCTTGCTGGGGGTTCATACTGGACCTCACACATTTAGGTAGAGACCTGAAGAGGTGCACTTTCAGGTGAACCTCCATGGAGTTCTTTCTGCTGTCTTCTGTAGCACCATCCTAGAGCACTGAAGTTTGGTATTTCACATGTCTTCAGAAGAGAGGCTGAGAAGGTTTGATCTGTCTGCATGGACGGATGTGGCAGTCTGGCATGGTACTTCCCAGAGGGGATACCTATGCTACAGTGACTTTTGAGGATATTTGGCGAGGTTGTTGCATAGGCATAATATGTGCCTCAGTGCAATTAAATCACTGAGCTTACATGCTGGTGCCCAGTTAGTTTTAGACTTTTGATTGCCATGTGGGTGAGCTCAAGGTTTGAGRAGCTGTTCCTGACTGCTACAGGTCAATGCACAGAGGTTGTGTCCTACAGCCTACAGGGTACTGCCGCCACGATCTGGTAATATGGCCCTTTGGCTAGGACATGAGTCTCTGAAGACACTCCTTTGGGAGGGCTGGTGACCCCTGGTAAGTAGCCACCTGGGCATTTGATTTTGTTCCCTGAGTTGGTTAATGCAAAGAAAGTAAAACCTGTAGATTCTTGTAAAGTCTACTTCTGTTATTTTAATGTTTTGCCAGACCTTAGTGGTTTGGTTGGCAAGCTGGAAAGTGATGTTTAGTGATCAGAGAGTTTTCAGCTTCTCCCAGGAGCTGTCCTTGGAAGCACAGAGGGCACCCAGTTCAGGCCAGCTGCTTGCCAGCTGGGAATTGGGCTGGTCAGGTCCGTACTCCTGCCTGCGTTTAACYGGACGTCTCCTGTGGTGGAGTTGCCTGCTTTGAGCACAATGCTGTGGATGGTGCATGGAAGGCTCAAGGTGCTGCTTCTTGGAAACCTACTTGTAAAATGTCCTGACACTGATGAACTGCGGTTAACGACCATTTCATTTTTACAGCCTATGATTTCAATTGACAATGTGGCTTGCTCGTCCTGGCAGGCAGCCTAAGGCAGCTGTACCTTCTTTTAATAGGAACTCTGACCTCTGCAAAACGACTCATCATTAATATGTCTCTGTAATGGTTTGTTTATTTCAGCTCTTTTCCATGCTTGTCTCTCTAATGGTTTTTATGCTGTTTTTTGCTTAGCTTATCAAGCAGCAGATTCTCTCCCTCCAGTTTAGGAAGGTAAAACTACATTGCATTAAACTGCTCTGACCAAACACTTTTCTGAATCTGTCTGCACAGATTAATTAACCTGTGATGCTTTGATACTAATTAATTAATTAATCAGTCGAGGGTCCTGAAGTGATCTAACAGCCTCATTCTGCATGATTTGATCCCTAATACTTGCTTGAACTTCAGAAAGAAAAGTGAATGTTCATAATTCCTGTATTAAGGTTCAGGAAATATTCCTCTTTCTCAGCCAAAGGATGGGTGTTCAGCTACTTCTTTATATTAAAGTGAGACTTCCATACAGACACATTAAAAATTGGATGTGACTGCCCTGAGATATCCAGAGAAAAAATTTTCTTCCCCCCTGCCATTGTTGTGAGGATCCTCRTTCACTTGGACTCTGCCCCAAAATGCACTTGTTCAGCTCTACTTTCCCTTCAGCAAAAGAACGCATTTGGAAATCAGTTGGTGTTTCTGGTTTGCTGCAGCGGCAGATAGAGGAATGACCGTGGAGGGAAAGGCCTCTCCAGAATACCTCTACGGTTTTGGGACTTCTAACCAAAAAGTCAGAAAAATAAAATCATGACAAGAGGAATACACTTCTCAAATCTCCTTTTCCAGSAGGCTTTTGTATGGAAATCCCTCTTTAATTGAAAAGGCTACTGAATTGCGGGGGGCCTCTTCCAGGGCTTTTTCTGCCCCAAAGATGCAGCTTCAGGAAGGCCCAGAGAAAAAGTGGCTAKTGCTTTGTGTCCAGTTCCTCGAATCCTCTGAATTACTGGTTTAGAGAGCAATTTGAATTGGACAAGCCTCCTTGCAGCTGGACTGAGTCAGCTGAGAGCCCCACAGTGCCAGTCTTCAAATCCTACTGTGACCAGAACAATTGTTTCTTTGAAAGACTCAATAGACCTTTCAGGCTTCCTGCCAAGTGTCATTGGGCAAGTCTCTGAATCATCTGCCGAGCCTGTGGAGCCCCCAGCTTCCAACCACAGCTGCTTTCCGAASCCATTCAGTAGCCTTTGCTGTATGCCAGCTGATTGTGGGGTTTGCACTGAGTGGACCAGACTTATTCCTGGTGCTGCCTGCTGGTGCTGGTGGCATSGGATTAAACTGGGTCCTGAGTGTCACTATGTGTGTGTGCATCACTTGATTATAAGATGCTGATCCGGTTGCCCTCCTGCTGGGGTATGAAATGTTGGTTGATGCTTGGGAAATTCCTTTATGTGGATCTGAAAGGCATTTACTGGTATGGGGCATGGGTCTGTATTGAAGGGAGCATCAAAACCCTACCAGTAACTGCCTTATACTGGATTGTCTGCCTTGCTCTGTGGAAATGGGCATTTTTTTTTTCCTGGAATTGGAGTTTGGAAAGGTTGCCCTGGTTTGAAACAGCTTTTGATTCCCACAGCCCTTTCCTGGCCCCACARTTAAGTGAAGAGTTGCTTGCCAGGGCCAGTGTCCCAGTAGCCATTGATTTCCACAGAAAAGAATCTGAGCTGTGGACTTTGGCATTTTTACCCCATCCCACACATGTTTGGATACATACCGTGCTTATAACCCTTATTCAGTAGATGAGTCAAGTTTGCAACATACTGAGCATCCCCTGTCCTGACCCTCATCCAACACAMGGTGCCTGGGAGCTGGGTGAGGTTYCWACTGCATCCCASTGGGTCTTTACTCAGGGATTCATRTCCCTGCAYCTCTTACAAACCCATTCTAGCAGGAAGCCAGAAGGAAAATAATGACACTGCAGTCTCCAGGTAAGTTTTCAGGGTGTATGGAACAGTCAGTTGCTGTGATTGGAGCTCTCCTGACACCTTCAGCCATGCGTGCTTAGTCCCTGTCAGTGCACCTGCCCTTGCTGGGTCATGATAAATGTGGGGTTTTTTGTTTGCCCTGAACCAGTTTGCTTCCTTAGCAGGTAGAGCATGAGTGGCAGCAGCACCAGCATCCTGCCTGCAAGCCAGGGCCGCTTGTGAGGCTGGGGTACTCATCATGGAACCCCCACCACATACTCTGAACCCTTCTGCCTGTGGTGGAGCTGTATCACGAGTGGTTTGGGCATTTGTCCTTTCCCTTGCATGTTTCTACAAGCTGATCACTTGTTTAAGAAATGTTTTTATCTTCTGAAAATGATAYAAATAGAGCTACCAGCTACCAGTTCTCTTGTAATATTTGCTGTTTCTYCCAATGTCCTTGTGCTTGAGACCTTGGGGTCCCTTCTCCTATTGTAAATACGTAGTATTTTAATTGCAGAAGGAGAAATTAAATAAGAAGCTCTTCCCTTCCAAGAGCCTCAGCATTATTTGAATGTAAGCCCAATTTGGAATTAAATAATTTCCCTTATTTTAAGAAAGATCAGATTTTCTGTGACCTCTCTCAGTGATTCTGGCAGTGCTGGATGAATATGATTGTGATTTATTGCCCTCATTGAACAGTRTTGAAATACCTGGAGAATCCATGGTCCACTTTTGACCATCACAGATTACACTGTTTGGATAGTTCTGGCCATTTGGGTGTCCCAGCATGAACTTGGAGGTCAGARCCTGAAGTAGGGAGTGTGAGTGCCTACCTGCAGCAGTGAGGGGTTAAGCAGGGAATCTCCAGCTAATTCTGGAGCTCAGAAAGCAGCTAGCCAGACTCAGGTATTCCTCAGTGAGCTGTCCCACAGCTGGCAGCTTTTCTTCATTCTAAGAGGGCTGCTGTGCTTAGGAGACATTCAATTCACATTTTCCCTGAAATGACACAAATTCTTCACAAACAAAGAGAAATCCCAGTGAACAGAATAACTCTTGAAACATTTATGKTTCAGAAGTGGGAGCTGACTTTGGTAGGCGGAGCTCTAAGCCTGCTGGCTGGCCAAAGATACCTTTGGTGTAATCAAGAGCTAACATGGAAATGCATTCATTGGGTCAACATTCATTGCCCCGATAGCCATAAGGGCTAAGACAAAAGGGAATGGCTCCCAAATGACACTTTAAATTGACAGTCATCTCAGGAGGGAGTGATCGGTCAAAAAAGCTCTGACACTGACAGTGTGAGCAATTGTAGGGATGATGGGTGGGAAGAGGGCACAGAGAACAAGAACACAGGCTGCTGAGGTGAGACACAAGGTGGACCCTTTGATTTTTCTGGTGCTTTTATCTCTAAGAAATGCTTCTTGAATCTTCCAGGAGCACCTTCTGCGCAATCATTTCTCAGCTGACGGAGGAAACACAGCCACTATTTGAAACCACTATCAAATCCCGTTCTGTGTCCGAGGACTCTGATGCTAAATTCACGTGCATAGTGACAGGTAATAGTGCCTTCAATGAATAACTTGGTCCTGCCTCACCTGCTGGACTTGTGCCAGTTAAACTCTGCAGCAAGTGATTACAAGGATAACAAGCCCACTGTTACCAGAATGCCAAGTAGAGGGTCAGCAATTGCATGATGACTTTAATATCAGGGAGGTGGGAAGCACCTGACCGTGTAGAGGTAAGGGCATAAGCTAACAGCTCAAGGCAAATGAAAGACCAGAAAATGGCATGGACCATCTACATTTTATTGTCCTAATCTGCTTCTCTAATCCTGGACTCCATAACTCAGGAATGTGCGGTTTTGAAGACTAGGGCTGTCCTACTAGGGTCAGGTCTGTCCATCTTTACTGGCTCTAGATGGTTAGAACAAGCTACATTTGTGTCAATGACGAACATCTGTGTTTGTCAACATCTGAAATAAAAGCTGATCACGGTCCAATGAGCTAAAATCTCCCCTTGGGCAGGAAGGGATTAAGTCAAGAAGAGGARGAGGAAGAGGGACAGGCCGAAAAAGAGGGCTGGTGCTATGGTATTGTGGTGATGTGGCATGGCAGCACATTGGTGTAGAGGCAAATAGCTACTTCGCTGATGAGGTTTTATTCTTTAAATATGGAGACTCAAAAACCTCTTCTCTCGATGTACTTGTTAACAACTCTGGTCCTTCCTGCCCTAACTTGTCTTAGTTAGTCCAACTAGTTACTGAGTGAGAGACATGAAACAAGTTTGTAAGTTTTGGAAGGAAGAGAGTGTATCCAGTGAGCCTCTTAGGCATGAGGACCAAAGCTTTCTTAAGGAAATGTAGTTTGCTATTAGAAATGGGCTGGAAATAAATGGTGCACCAGGAAGCACAGCCTCAGTCCGTCCAAGAGTTGCCAGCTGTGAATTCTTGGCTTTTCTCTTCTGGATTCCCATGTTCTGAAGGCTGACCTGAACTTGCAGGGGYACAACTGATCTATTGGTTTTATTGAGGCTTAACTTCAGCAGAGCGCTGCTTGCTGCTTCTGGGGCCAGAGGGGGCTGCTGGGAGATGCCTCCAAAACCCTGTATTGGGGGAGTCATTAGAAGGGCTCTTCCCATTTTAAGTTCAGTGAAAGCAAAAAGACATATTGTGCGGTACCATGGAACAAACCATTCTGCAGGTGGTAGAGAAGAGAAAATGTTTAGGTATGTTGGAAAATCCAGAGTCTTGGCTTCTCCCACTGCCTTAAATCTTCACCAGCTGCAGCTTGAGGTTGATGGTTCCTTCTAACAAATTCCGTCTCTTCCTGGGGTGTTGCCCTGGGTGGAAAACTTGACCTGAACTTGCCTCATTTTCTACTCAAGTGAAGGAAATTGTCAATGAGTCTCTTTCAGCATGTGTGATGGTGTTTTTGTGCTTGGTAAACCAGGTTGGGGGATGTCTCTATGCACTTAAATTGATAAACATGCAAAATTAGAAATGTTAATGGAAATGTTTTTAAAATAAGCCTTGGATCACTTATGCTAGATGGGCATCTCCTACATACTGTCCTATGGACTGCTTTAGGAGCTCGGGATCTCTTTGGGAGAGGGGCAGGAGGTGGAAAGCATATTCTGACTGCAGTGTCTGGTTTGTAGTTGAGGTATCTCGCCCAGCCATRATGTTTGTGTTCAGCTGGGAGGCATTGCTGGGAGCAGGGAAATGGCAGTGGCATCCCTGGCCAGGGACCATAGTTGAGCCAGCTCAGTCCCAGCACTGTGGCTGGAGTCCAGGGACACTTTGGTGGAGGCAAAGGGCAGACAGTCACCTGCTCCTGTTTTGACGGTCAAGACACAAATATGGATACATGACCTACAATAGCATCTTAATATWTTTTTTTTTGCTGCTTCTTGAGCAATAATGAGAGCTACAGGCTAGTCCCACATCTGGGAGCACTTGGCCTAGGACTTGCTGGGCCTGTACTAGGAACACAGAAGGATGAAGTGTTTGAAGATCCAATCTCCAGAATGTGCTGAGTGGTGCAGGCAGGGAAAGAGRGGTTTAGGCAGAGGCAAATTCCTTTGTGTGGAGGCACAAACCTTCCTTTCCTGCTGATGTCTAGTTCAGCCTGCTACTGGTGCCCCTGCTATGTCTGATTTGATTTTTTGGGTCAAATTCTGCATGAGTTATGAGATGTTTCTTTTTCAGACAAAATWAGTTCATCTTTTGTTCTCTGAGAGATGTGAGAAAAGGGAACAAGAATATTTCCATTTACTGTGCGGTTTCATCCCAAATCTCTGCACCAAATACTTACCTTGGTGGGTCTGTCTGGACTTCAGGATCTCAAGGGTCACYACAGCTCATTCCCAGTGAGTGGATATTGGGCTTCTCTCTTTAAGGTGGCCCTTAGTGGAGGTGCTGCCACAAGGATTTTCCTACTTTTTAGTCGCTTCTGTGTAGTATTGTCTGGGAATGAGAGATGTCAGCTGATGAAATGGGGCAGCTTGGATGAAGTGGCCTAAGTCTCTGACTGCTTGTTAGGGAGTAAGTCAGGCTAGGACAGGTGATGGCTGGATCTAGCCAAGACCATAGTATGTCAGCACTAGCCCCACTGTTGCACAGCTGCCTCTTGAGTGCTGTTTCAGCCCTCGTTAGCCAGGTTCAGCCCTCCTTAGCCCTCTGATCTTCAATTGGCTTCCCAGTTCATCAGCTCTGAAGCTTGATCCCATCACTGCCTCCATGGTTTTTATTGAAGAGTACAGAGGGGAAAGGGCTCTGCCCATGGCTTGGGGAAGAATGTTGGAGTAGGGTGAGTAGACAGTCATATGCTTTGTGGATGAGGATTTTAATGAAGATAAAGGAGTTCAACTTGCTGCATTTTTTGGTGACCCTCTGAGGGAAGTGTTTGAAGGATGAGAGTGAAGTATTTGGATGAAGAATGTCTGGAGACATGCAGGGGCTGTGAGAGGGATTTGGGGATGGGTAGTGACTACAAAGAGTAAGCTGCAGCGAGATGAGGAGGTTTGGCTTTGGGGCCAAGGACAGCAAAGGATGGTGAATGAGCACTGCTCACAGTGGCATTGGGAGCTACTGCTCTTAGTATCTGTACGTCCTGTCAGCATTGCTAGAAGCTTCCTTGTCTTTGTGTGCTGAAGGGATTTAAATCCATGAAACCAGGAAGGATAAGATCTTACCATGAATTGTGTTCCCAAGACTGTTGAAGTCCCTACTCCCTGTAGGTAGTGTAGAGTAGAAACTGTGGAGATTGTGTAATGGTTCTAAGCTCTTACCACCTTCCCAAGTTTCAGAAGACTAACTCCCCCTCCTTCCCTGACCCCAAAAATAAAAAAAGTAAGAAAGTTACTTGAAACAGAGTTTCTCTGCATAATTTTGGATAGATATATTAAGAACTGTTTTGGTTTGCTATTTTAAGAACTGTTTTGGATACGGTCACCAAGCTTTGAGGACTTCTCAGATTTTAACAGCTTTCAGAAAAAGAATGTTTGATCTAAACCTGGCAATCTCCATGAAAAAAATCCTTGCTTGGAAAAGTCTCCAGGATCCTGCAGTGGCTGGCCATCACCCTGGAGCAATACTGCTGGAAGACACACTTCCCAAAAACCTTTTGCTGGACCCAAAGATGTGGAGTGGATGCCTGCCCTCGTCCCAGAAGCACCTGGCACCACTCTGTCTGCAGCTGCGGGGCTCTGGCTGGGGGCTGCAGGGGCCCAGCTGCCACCAAATCCCTCTCGGCACCAGCTGCACTGGGGGCTGCGGCAGTGATGGGTTTTGGAAGGATGAGTGCAGGTCTGTGAGTGGCTGCCCAGGGTGTCTCATGCTAAGGGTGGGTATCTGGTGCCTGCAGCATGGCAGCGCCCACAGATGGAGCTCTTGGCTCCACTTCCTCCCACTGGACAAGCTGTGGATGCTGTGCCTGCAGGGGATGTGCTAGGAGTGATGGCTGACCCCTCTTTCTCCCTGGATCAGGGGAATTTATTCACCCAGCAGCCTCCCTCAGCCTCACTCAGCAGTGTCAGCAGCAGCTCCCCTTCCCRCGCCAGAGAGACTTTTCCCTGCACAGACATCTTTCCATCCCCTACGTGGCTCTGATTGCAGCCCCTGGGGAGGGATGGATGGTGTTTGGAAAGGCAGCTGGGGCCACTGTCCCTGCGTGGGAGGTAGGAAGCCTTTCAGCATCCGCCTGCCTGCAGACTTCCAGCTCCCTTTGGCTGCAGGCTGGTGCGTGCAGTGGGAGCTGGTCCTRGCACTGGGCTGGCATGGTGGTAGCTCCTTAGAGAGAGCAGGCAGCCTCAAGGACACAAGTGCTACAGGTTAAAGGGAGTTTAAGCTTAGCAGGAGGAAAAGCCCTTCCTCCAGACACTGYACAGCTATGGACATTGCAGCTCTTTCCAGCAGATGTCAGCTGGGAATGGAAGTCAGCTGTGGAGGCCACAGGGGGACATCACAGGGCTTCTCGGAAACTATCTGCTGGCAGTTCCCAGAATGAAGGGCTGTGACTGCTGTTCCTTAGGGTGTCAGGAAAATCCACCTGCTAGCTCCCTGCAGGATGGCTGTGGGGGCCTCCTGAAGGTCTTGCTTGCAGAACAGATCTTGGGAAGAGTTGATTGTGCTGGGCACAATGCAAGCTGTGTATGGAAATTGTTTTATTCATCATCCCTGAGCTGAAAGAATTCACCAGAGGCTCATTTAGCTCAGGGTCCTGCTGCCAAGTACAGTCAGTAGTTAATATTTTATCAAAAATATAAGCAGCAGCATCAATCTTCGATGATCCCATCCCCAGGGTCCTCTCATGGCTTTCTCCATTTCCCAGTTTAGGGCTCATTTACTTGAGCCATAAGCACCTGAGGGCTTTGCATGTTGTTAGAAACTGGTTTGGGGGGTCAGAGCAGCAGCAACGAACAGGCTGTGACAAAAGTGGGGCAGAKGGAGAGGACAGAGTGCCTCGCAGGAAGGGTGTTGGGAGAAAGTCATGCAGGCTTGGCTTCCTGCAGAAGAAGAGGAACAAAGCACTACCCAAGAGGAAACCAAAGCTGCTGATGGCAGCAGTGGAAGGGGATTGAGGCAATAAACCATGTGTGAGATGTACAGATGGAGAGGGGGGCTGCTGGGGCACTGCAGAGTAAGAGTGTAAAATACAATCTGGGGGGTGTCTGGGCTATGGGGGTGGATRCTGCTCAGGAAAGAAAAGCTTCTGAGACTTGTTTTTCCAGCCCTGTCTGATCTCAATGGACTAAATCCCTCTAGGAGCCAGAGGACACTGAGGAGCCACCACAAGCAAGGGTTGGGGACAGGAGAGCCAAAGCACTATGGGAGGAGATTTGGCATATGCTGCTTTTCTGGGCCAAGGCATATTGGAATAACCAAAACCTGTGCAAATTCCTGCTGATACGTCTCTGCTCCTGGAGTCTCAGTTCTACTATAGGACCTTCATGAGAACATGATGGAGTAAGCGGGGCTCAGACATTGCCATGGACTGACAATGTCTTTGGCTGGTGAGAGAAGGAGGYTGGGGTCCTGGTTAGCCTTGAAACCTGTGGCTTGGTAGCTGGGAAGTAGCCAGAGAGCACCTTGTCCCTGCCTTCTTACTCCAGAGCCACTGGGTTGATTTGGATATTCCTGGGAATCCCTCATTGGCCCTGTGCCAGGGATCTGCATGGGAGCYGATCCCTGCCACATTCTGGGGTGCTGTGGGTGATCCTTGGGGTCTAGTGGACTTGAGGAGCGTGTCAAAGACTCCTTTCTTTGGCTGCAGGGACATTTGCAGCAGATAAGCTTTGGGTGTATGCCTTGGGGCTTCAAACCAATTGCTGAGCATATTGACTGTAGCTTAGGCATGATGTGATCCTTGAAACTTTCATCCCATGCCCTGGGGGTTGGCTTGTCTGGGCAGTGAGCCCTGAGTAAAGTGCAGAAMTCCCTGCTGGCTCGGGCAGTTTTTGCATGAAAACTTCTCTTAATCTGAGCTAGAACTGCTATCASTGAGCAGTGAAGCTGTGGCTAGCACTGGTCCATATGGGACTCACATGCTAATCCAACACCTCTGCCACTGGTGGGGAACGTGGCTGTGTGCCCAGCCTGCCAGCCAGCCAGTCACACACATCATGATGTCATTCTACTGAAAAGGCAGGTGACATCTGTTGTCAAGTGACATTTGTAGGACACTGAGTTGACTGTGATGCAATCAAAGTTGTTTCTGTTCAATGGAAAGTTTCGGATCAGCTTACAGGCTGTGACACTGTGCAAAATGCTGAGAGCTCCATGGAGGGGCGAGCGCCTGTTCTCCAGCCATAGCCTTGGCCTCATCAAAACATCCCTCTTCTCATAAAAGTGACGGCATGCTCACCTTCTCCCAGCCAGTGTTACAGGAGATGAGCGTGTGATCCATTCGCCTCTGTTCAGGAATGAAGTGCTAGGATTTTTTTCTCAAAAATAGCCCTATTCCTAGGAGTGATAAAAGTCTGAGATAAGCCCATTAAGTTTCCACTGTTTCTGCCGTGTAATTTAGGAATGTGGTGAGCCCAGAATAGCATCTGTCCTGGTGTGCTGGATTGTTCTGCTGCTGATACCGTGCTGGCCATGTTCCTGTGCGGAATATTTCACCCTCTGCACCCTCCATGTCCTCCCCAGGGTACCCACAGCCRGAGGTGACGTGGTACAAGGATGATGAGGAGATGGATCGCTACTGTGGCTTACCCAAGTATGAGATATTCCGTCATGGAAACCGCCACACTCTACAGCTCTACAAGTGAGTAAAGGAGCTGGAGAGTGGCTGGGTTTGGTGATGGGAGTTCTGAGTGTGTACTCGGTGGCTGGATAAGCGGTCAACACTGATGTCCCCCCAGCACTTGTGCTGGCCCCTTCTGCTCCACACTGCAAGTTCACAGCTGACCCTTCCCCTCCGTCTGTGGCTCCCCAGTCACCAGTGTGAGRTCTATAACTGCATCCAGGAATAGCTGCCATGCTGGAAGCAATAGGAAGGGAAGGAGAAATCCCTCTCCCTGGAGCCTTCCAGTGCTGAGTATTAGGGCTGACAAAGGTGAGCAAAGTACTATCTGCTTCCAAGRTGATGGTCCAGGGAACCAAGTATAAACAGTAGGAGCGTCCTAAGCAAGGAAAGGTCTACAGCCGTGGCCCAGGCGGGTCTTTCCGAGATGTCACCATGGAAAGGGCTGCTTTAGCCCTGACTAATGAAATAAAGGGTTTCCTTAATCCAGCCCTGATGACAAGCTTTTTTTTTTTTTTAAATTTAAGCAAGGACTGCGTTTCTGGAGAGCCAGGCACACCTTATCCCCAGCAGTCAGAGACCTGTTGCATCTTGAGTCCTGGATCTGGGATGTCAGACAGGTGTGGCATTTACTGAAAATGCAGAATATTATATTGCTGATAGTTCTGCCATCCTTGTCGTTCTAGCCTGAGCTTGTCTGCTGCCCCAGCTGTGCTCCAGTGTCCATCAGAGGCTGAGTCACCTCTTGCAAGAGTGGGATCTCTGTGTTAGGTGCCTTCAAGGGGTGACAGCAGGGATGCAGGCAGGTGCTAGTGCTGGTGCCTGTGACATAGGTGGGAAGGCTTTGGTAAGGCAGTAGGGTAGAGAAAGAACAGGAATGTCATGTGGCTGTGTAGAGCTGAGAGAAAAAGATCTGCAGAGGTCTGTGACCAAGAACAGCTGGGAAGCCTGGTGCTGCCTGTTCCTCCTCCATCAYAGCCCTCATATCACAGGGTGGAGCTAGGACAAATTTAATGTCAAACTTGGTTGTCTGTTAGAGCTGAGAGCAGGCAGAACCAGAGAGGGAGGCCAGCTCAAGGCCTCCAGATGTCCTGTGGGCACATCTTCTGGACTCTCTAGAGCAAGAAGTGGGAGAGTGTGCATGCTTGTGTGTCTAGTGGGCATCCTGGGGAGGATGGGTAGGTCTCACACACAGCTTTTGATTTCCAGGTGCCGGGAGGAGGATGCAGGCATTTACCAGGCCTCAGCTAGAAATACCAAAGGCATTGTGTCCTGTTCCGGTGTGCTGGAAGTGGGAACCATGACGGAGTTCAAAATCCAYCAGAAGTGGTTTGACAAAATCAAGAGAAAAGCTGAAGAAAAGCTGCAAGAGATAGAACAAGGCAAGAAACGAGGAAAAGAAAATGTGGAAGTGGAGAAATTGCAGGGAATGAGCCCTGAACGACTCCAGAGGAAGCGGAGGCTGGCTAGAGATCAGAACCTCCAATCAGGAGACTCTTCATGGGAGAAGGAAGATGCAGCAAAAGTGCACGTTGCAGATTCACAGTCCAGGTTACACAAGGATATTGCTGAGACAAAGGAGCAGCCACTCAGTGTGATGCCAGGCTTCCCAAACAAACTGGTGTCCCCTCTGAAAGCAGAGGTGACCACCAATGGAGATGCCACTTTGGAAAGTGGGGAGGAGAGCGGGAGCAACTTTCTCGCRTACATCTACGAGACAGTGGAGGACCTGGCGACTAAGCCAGGGGCAAAAGACTCTGCTGCTAAAAAGAAAAAGAAGGTGGRGGGTCCTTCAGCAGCAACGCAGGAAGTTTCCAAGCGAGAAGAAAGTGGGAGAGATAGGGCCAATCTGTCTTCAAATCCCAGGTTTGCTCCTCCTGTCCCCTTACGCAGGAATGCACGTGTGAAGGCAGCAAGCGATCAAGAAGTAGAAACCAGTCCAGAAGTCAAAGAGCCTGGGAAAGCTGTGAAACAGGACACTAAAACCAGTGACGATGTGTGCTTCTCTTTAAAGGACTTGTATTTCGATAAGCAAGTGAAACCAGAGGCAAGGAAGAAGGAGGTGGGAGCAACGGACGAGGCCAGGCATGAGGCTGTCCTGCAGCCAGTGGCAGTCTGCAGACAGACAGAGAATGCTCCACTGTCCTCTGAGGTGTTGGAGGCAGGACCTGTGTTGTCCGAGGGACAGAGAGGCCAGCAGCAAGAGCAGAAGTTGGAGGAAAACAAAGAGGTAACTAGGAGAGACAACAGCCAATGCAGGGGTGGCAACAAGAAAATACCTGTGCTGWGCAATTGTATTGCAGCACCGTGCCTGGGAGGCTGCCTGTACCCCATGGGATCTGCTGCCAAGGCTCCGCAGTTCTCCGCTGGTGAAAGCACCCAGGAGAAGGGTTTTCTGGATTTTGTGAGCCCAGACAGCAGAGCTTCCACCCCATCTCCAAACAAATGTCAGCTGAGGTGGTGAGAGATGTAAGTCTGGGCCATTCGAGCAGCTGGTCTCAGTGGCTTGGGGCTCTCTGGTTTAATAGGCAGGCTGACCTCATGCGAAATGTTTTCAGATCAGGTCGGCAGGGAGCACTGAATGGGTATTTATAGCTGGGGGTGGGTGCCTTGTGATGGCATCTGTTCAGTTTAACAAGGGAGCCGAGCTTCTGTTAAMGAGCCCCCGTGTAGATGAGTAGGGGATGCCAGGTACCATATGAGCTGCACCCTCAGGGCCTTGAATTTTGTTTACAGTAGGTCTGGACTATTTTTTGGCTCATCCCTGTTGGAAGAGCTCTGCTGGGAGAGTCGTTGTGATGGTGATGAAGCACCAGGGCACAGCACCTGCTCCTGACCCTCAGAGCATCTTTTAGTCAACTGCTATTTTTGTCACCTAACCTGAAGTATTTGCCATGAAAATGTTAGACTGGAAGCTACCAGACTATTTTTTCTCTATTTTCTTTAATGAACCCTTCTATCATAAAAGGCTCTCCAAATCCAGTTTGCAGGTGTAGTCAGGATTTGGAGTTTGGGCCGTGGTGGGTGCAYACTTTCGGTATAGACAAGGTTCCAGGTGCAGTACCTCTCGCTCAGTAGGTAATGCACATATTTCAGAGAGTGGTAAAATCCACAAAGCGTAAGAGACTGATGGGTGCTCCAGTGCAAAAAAAAACCCTTCAGTCATCCTTTAAATTTCTTTAGCCATAGGTGGGAGCAGCTTTGCTGATAAGAACCTGCTGTGTTACGCAGTGTGCACCTGGGTTCTGGCCTTGCTGCTGCACAGTGCCCTGAACTTCTCTTCAGCCTGACCCACCAGCATCATATACTGCTGCAGAAATTACTGCTGTGCGTGCCAGCCCATGACGAAGYCATTTGTTTCTCCCCTCTCTGCTCATTTTAACACCTCTTGCTCCCAAAAACGGCGGAAAAATGTTGATGTGCAGCAGCCAGGCTTGGGTTGTCATCCCTGAGCCTGTGAGTGCATCAAGGTTTTTTTTTTTAAAACCCCACTCACAGAGGGAAACCTCTGACTTGTCAGCTGGTGTGCCTTTGAGGAGACAAAAGAGAATGTTTCTGATTTGTATTTGAATGCTTCAGCTTATTGGTGCTGCTGGGGAAAATCCTCAAGCTTTTGTGASAGCAAGTAAGCTGGTTTAAAGCTGATTCCAGGCATGTTTCAGGATATTTTCACCCCCSAGGACAGGGGTTACTTGTCTTTTTCATTTTTATTCTTCCTCTTAAACAAGAAAGGTCATAGCATGAGTGTTTTCCCAGCCTTGGGACATGGCTGGGCCTCAGGCTCAATTTCCCTTCTGAGCTGGATTAATCTGTAGCACAATGTCAGACTGTAGCCAGGTCCTGAACATCCTTCTCTACAAGAGCAGGGAAGAAACTGGATTTGCATGGTGATCACTCTTGCCTACATTTTAAACTGATGATTTTATTATTCTTCTTGAATTKTGTGRGCAGGAATGGCCTCCAATAGTGCTTCCCCCACCCCAACCCTTCATTACACGTGTTGCCATAACAGTTGGAGAGGGACTTTGGACAAGGGCCTGGGGTAACACGACAAGGGGAATTGGCTTTCCACTGTCAGAGTGCAGGGTTAGATGGGATATTGGGATGAAATTCTTGGCTGATGGGGTGATAAGGCCTTGACACAGGTCATCCAGAGAAGCTGTGGCTGCCCCATCCCTGGAAGTGTGCCAGGCCAAGTTGGATGGGGTTTGGAGCAACCTGGGATAGTGGAAATTGTCTCTGCCCATGGCAGGGATTGGAATGAGATGGGCTTTAAAGTTTCATCCAACACAAACCATTCTATGATTGCCTTATCTGCTTGGGGAAGGGCTTGCTGAGAGACTGGTGTTACCTTTCCTCTTTTCCCCAAGCTACCAAATGAAGCAAAAGCAGCACAAAATAGAGGTCTAAGTGCCACATTCCTCCTTTCCCATGGCCTTAATTTTGGGGGGCTTAAAGCTCAATCCAGGGACCTCAGGAGAAAGTCCTTAGCAGCAGTTCCTCCAGGGTGTAAGAGGGACGCTTTGTGTGAATGCCTTGTCCCCCTGCCATTGTCCTGGTGATWCTTGTAGAGCATCAGCCAGGCAGAGTGTGTACCAGCTATTGCTACCTCCCCTACAAAAATAGATCCTGCCCTTGGCTGCAGGATTTCGGCAGCTCTCCTCGGGATAAAGCTTGGCTGTCACAGCAGGCAGCTCGCTGACACGTCTGCTGGGTGCAGCTGTGGTCGGAAACATTTGAGCTTCCCAAACGTCAGAGAAACAGAATGGTTGAATAGTGCTGGTAACGTCAGGGAGTACAGTTTCGCTCTAAATCACTTGGGCAGCCTCATCCTGCTAGTGTGTGACATGTTGATTGCCCCATCTTGCAGTGGAGATATGGGAGCACTGAGTCTTTAGAAACAGCAAGGAAATTATACAAGGTCTCAGCAATGGCTGGTAAAAATTGCAAAGTTTTACTCCTTGGGAAGGCACTGAGTCAGAGGAGATTGGATTAAAAGCCACAGAATTATTTAGAAAGGCAGATCTCTTGCCTCTTTGCTTGGCAAGGGTATTGAAAGGCAGAAGGGCTGGAGCTGATTAAAAGAAGAAACATTTTGTGCAGCCTGATGGGTGGGGCGCACTCCTGTGGGGTGATGCTGAATCCTGAAGATCGTGGATGACGCAGTAACGCTGGTAATGGGGTAATTCTCRTGACTCAAGGAGTTGCACAGTGCCATATGGTACAAGTGGACCACAAGTACAGCTGCGCAGACCCGGGCAGTAACATGATGCTAATTTTCTGTTTTTTTTTTTTTTTTTTTAATAGATTGCAGCAAGAGTGGGACAGTCTCCTGGTGACCTAAAGCATCTAGTATCCAGTCCAATCACAGAGACTAGTCAGCAAGCCAGTAAGCTAGAGGAGGTCAGGAAAGAGGTGCCTGTGTGCCAGGAGACCAGGGGTTCTGTGAAAAGGACAAATCCTCGGTTTAGGCCTCAGGAGCCACCAAAGCCCCCAGCACCATCTCCAGACCATGTGCAGTCTGGCGAGCAGCACCCACCCCCTAGGAAACAGGCAGAAAGACATTCCCATGCTCTTGAGGGCAGAGAGACTCAGCCAGGACTGTTAAAACAAGAGAACAAAAACCAAGGTGGGGAAGAATCCTTGCTAAAAACTTTGAGTCCYCCGGAACCTGGCGAAAACACTCCTCTTGAACAAATCCCATGTCAGACAGTCAAGGATGGGAAGAGCAAAGAGGCAGGAGCAGAGTTGTGTGGGAGCCATCCTGGTGTGAGGTCAGGAGAGAGTGATGCAGCAGAACCACGTCCTGGGGCTGTGCACAGGGTGGCAGAAGGGGCACCTTTGGGACATCAGAACACTGAAATGGCAGCTCCTCCTTCAGTTCCTCTTGCCGAGGAAGAGCTGCATCCTGCCCCTGCAGGGAGGCCATCGGTGACTTGGGACGCACTGCTGGCAGCTCGTGGCACCCYAGGGATGGAAGCCACTGCAGTAGAGGTCCCATCTGGAGCCCAGCTGCTGCCTCCTGCAAGTAGAGAAACAGAAGTCACAGCAACAGATGGATCTGCCCCGCGAGAGGTGTTTTCAGCCAGCGCGTTAGAGGAGAATGCCAAACCAGTGCCCATGGGACTTCAGGAGAAGGAGGGAGGACTGCTGACAGCCATAGCTCCATSCCAGGAACCAGCAGCATCTTCAGGGACTTGGGAAGGAGTCTCTCAGGTTCAGCCAAAGGTACCACTGGTCCTGCCTGGCTCCGAGACATCTCAGGAGATGTCTTTGGAAGAGAAAATGCAGCACAAAAACCTGGTTTCCTCCTTAAAGAACTACCTGCTGCTACTTCTAAAAATGTCAGATAGCAGTAAGGATGCCACAAAAGGAGACACTGACTCTGGGGACAAGGAGCAGCCAAATGCAGGGGAAGGCATGATCCCAGAGATAGGCATTGCTGGCCTTAGCCCTCGCACCTCAAGGAGAGTTTTGGAAAAGGTACAGAACAACCAGCTCTTCCAGACAGCAGAGAACTTGCCTCTGACCCCCAGGACATCCAGACGGATCACRGGCATGATTAACGAGGAATTTGTTACCAGCAAGGAGATTCTGGCTTGCCAACCTGTGCCACCAAAGAGGCGCACCTGGAAGGCTCCTGAGGCCGAGGGGCCACCTCCGCTCTCAGTGCCTTCCATTGTGGTGGGCAGCATGCCCACATCAGGAGTGGCTCCTCATCTTTCTGATGTGCCTCCAGTGAGTTCTGAAGAGAGCCCTGCTGACCCTCTGGCAGTGCTACCTTGTGCCACACCAGAAGAACTTGCTTTGGGAGCCCGGCGCAAAATATACCTGCCAAAACCCAAACAGGTCGGGGAGGAAGAGGATGTGGCCCCCGGGAGCACGGGGCATGCACGAAGTCCAACTGTTTCACCACGGCAATCCAGGAAGAATGCATCCCTCTTGCAATCTCCTGCCCCAGCTCCATCCTCTGCCCCAGAGCAGTGCTCTCCAACCCTCATGAGGAAGATGGCCACATTGGAGGTTCCTAAGCTGTATGAGGAACCTGCAGGTGACACCACTGCTGRCCAAGAGGTCCCTGAAGATGCTAAGCCAGAGGCACAGCCAGCTGAGTCCCAGAAAACAAATAACCCACTTAAAGGTGAGGGAAGAGATAATCCTTATGCATTTCCTTGTTGCCTACAAAGGGAGCCAGGGACAGTCAGCTGGGGCCACATGAATTTTGAGCATTTGCAGAGTTTTCAGCATCAGCCTTTGGCAGTGTGAAAGCCAAAAGTCTCTCCCAAGACTTCTGCCCCTGTGCAGGGAGGGTCAAAAAATGCAAGAGGCAGCAGCTCTGACATTGGYTTTCTCCACAGCCTGGGCTTCCCTGGCCCAAGGGATCATGGAATCCTCTTAATTTTGGTCTGTGTTCTGGTCCTCATCAAGCCTGATACTGTTTGGTTGAGTGGGAAGTGTCCCTGCTCACTCATTGCAAGAGGGTTGGAATGAGGTGGTCTTTRAAGTCCCTTTGAACCCAAAACATGATTCCATGCATGTTTCAGTGGGCATCACAGAGTGCCCACTCCTCTTCCACGTCTGCGGTCAATGCTAATTTGATCCCTTGTGGCATTGAACTAAAAAAGGCATAATCCTGGTGTTGAAAGAACCAGGTGATACTCTCAGCACTCTTGCAAAGTAAGGCTAACCTTGATAAATCCCTACTTCAGGAAATGAATGTTTTCTCCAATATTGCATAGTGTTTTTCTGCATTTCCTCTGGCCAAGCCTTGCTGGGTGTTGCAGTGCTGCACTGTTGAATGAATTTGTACCACTTGTATCCCACGCTATCCCAGGGAAGCTCTGAGATCTTTCCTGGGAAGGCAGTGTTATGCCAGGCTGTGCTGACATACACGTGATACCCAAAGCCCTGAGCAGCAGCATGGGCAGAGGCTGGYCTGTCCCCTCCCCCTGTGTCTCACCACCCATCTCTTTGCACCCTGTCCTTAGCTCCACAGGTGGTCCGTAAGATCAGGGCCGAACAATTTTCCGATGCATCAGGAAACCTGAAACTTTGGTGCCAGTTCTTCAATATATTGAGTGATTCTAAGCTGACGTGGTACAAGGACGAGATCCCTGTAGCTGAAGCCCAAAGGAGGTAACCTGTCGGCTTCACGGTGGCACAGGCCTTGTTGTCACATCCTGCTGCTTGCCTTGGCCGGGGTGAAGCTGCCCCTCTTGCTAAGGCAGCATGGGAAGCTCAGTGCATGATGTTAACTTCATCATCTCAGTGCCTACAGAGGGAAGGATCACCCACATGGGGAATTTTGTACTATTCTTGCTCCATCTGGAGTGTCTGCTTTGAGTATCCAACCTTGGAGAGGGCGGAGAAGATGTTATGCCTGTCAYAGAAATTAAGAGATGGGTGTGAACTGTAAAACTGGGGTCCGTGTGAGGGTGGCAGCCATGCTGAAAGGGTCTTCCATGCAACCACCAYTGGAAAAAAGCAGCTCTGGCTGTGCCTTCTCTATCCCTTGCACAGGGAGAGCATATTCAGGCAGCTGGGTGACTGGTTGACCTTTGGTTCTACTATGGAGAGAAATTTGTTCTCAAGCCCAGAGGATTTGTGTAGGATCATCATCCACATCAGTCCGGATTTGCCTGATGCCTTTGATGTCCCCTAAGCTCCCTTTAGGTGTCTCTGGGATAGATATTTGAGCTGGGGCAGATGGGCCAGAGTGGCCATTGCTTTCCAGCAGACCAGAGCAGAGCCTGCTCAGCCRGTGGGTCTCAGGATGAGGGTCCCACCTCTTCCCTCTGTGAAGCCCTAGCCCAGCCTTACTCAGGGGCAAGTACCTTTATCAGTGTGTAGCCTAATCTTGACCAGATTTTGCAGGGCTTGCCCGGAGGATGGTCATCTCTGTTAGTACAAACCACAGGACAGGACTCCTATTGTCGTGACATCCTGGGGGAGCAGCTGGGTTGCCTTTGGAATGGCTTCCTTTGTAGCCTTCTTCCATCCCCACAAGGGCAGTACAGTGCCCACCTGCAGTGCCTGTCAGGGGGCTCCCACRTGTCCCCCTCCATCCCCCACAAGGATGAGACCATGCTCCATGTTTTTTCCAGTGCTGGTGACGAGGGCCAGGCAGCTTTGGCTGTTGTGCAGGCRTCCCAGAAGGATTGCGGGGTGTATCGGTGCGTGATCAGCAACGAGTATGGCACCGACTCCACGGATTTCCTGCTCAGCCCGGAAGGTGAGGAGCCCTCAGCAGCCTCTCACAGCTGCCTGGGTGTGCCATGGGGTGGTGTGGCCAGCAGCATAGAGGGCTTGGTGCCAGTCTGCAGYAGGGGAGCCTTGGCACATTCCATAACACCACCTCTGTGAGGTACATCTGCTTCCATGTGCCAGTTTATGAGCAATTCCCACCATCCTCTCTGTGATCCCTGATTGTGCAAGTGCATGGGGCACGGGATCCTCGTGGGATCCTGGCAGGACTTTGACACCTCTTTGCTTTCTGTCTCCTCTAGTRTTATCGGGATTTATCCTGCGGGAAGAGATTGAAGGTAAGGGCTACATGTGATGAGCTGCAACTCTGCCCCTTGGTGAGTGGGGCAGGCAGCTSTGGGGCAGAAGCAGGACGTGCCCATGTTGCCTCCCCTCACCAGCTCTTCCCCCCACCAGTTGGAGAGGAGATCGAGATGACACCCATGGTGTTTGCCAAGGGTTTGGCTGATGCAGGCTACTGGGGGGATAAGCTCTTCGGGCGCGTGGTGAGCGAGGACATGGAAGTGGGTGCTGGTTTCCTGCGCAAAGCCTGCCGTGCCAGAGCCATCTACGGCCTGGAGCCTATCTTTGAGTCTGGCCACACCTGTGTCATCAAAGTGCACAATTTCATCATCTTTGGGACCAAGAATGAGAACAGCCTTATYGAGAAGAACTATGATATCACCATCCAGGTGAGTGTCCTTGGGGAGCACCGTCCACTTTTTTCCCCGCCATCTTCCCCCTCTGTGTGTGAGCTGGTCCCCAGCTGATTTTTGAAATGCTGTGGAGAGGTCCAGTCATATTTAAGGGGGCTGGACATGTGTTYGCCATTCTTGGCTTCAGCTCTTCCCCCTGAGCAACATCCCATTACTTATCCTTAAACCACCAGGACAGGGAAACAACTGGCAGTGGTCCCAGAGAGGCATTGGTGCAAGATGGGGCATGTTCTTGATTCTTCTGTTTGCACCTCCAGGAATGTAAAGTCCAAAACTCCAGCCGTGAGTACTGCAAGATCTTTGCTGCTGAGGCACGAGCTGTCCCTGATTTTGGAGCGGTGCCTGAGTAAGTGATGTGCTGTGGCTCTGCTGGCTTGATGCCCTGGCAGAGCATTGCAGGGGAACGTGGGAAGATTCCCCATGGGTGACGGGGTATCCCGAAGGGTCCCAGCCACAAATGGAAGGGAGGAGGGCAAAAGCCAGGGTTGCAGACCATGGTGAGAATCTCCATTTGCGGGGGAGGTAGAGGTCACTGTGCTGACATTGTCTGTGTGCTCCCACTCAGGATAATTCCTCTGTACCTGATTTATCGACCGGCCAACAACATCCCTTATGCCACAATGGAGGAGGACCTGGGCCAGCCCTGCAAGCAGTACTGTGTAACTGAGAGAGATGGCAGCTTGGTGGCACGAGGCACCTCGGAGATTGTGCTCAAATGCTGTACCTTCCAGCATTGGGTCTACCAGTGGACAAATGGAAACATCCTCGTGACTGACATGGAAGGTAAAGGGATCTCCTGTGTGATTCTTGTGGCCAGTCACCACCCTCTGGCTTGGGAAAGGAAGAAAAACCCCCAGGCTTGTCCTCCTGCTTCTCTTTCCCCCCATGCCATGGAGCCCTGCACCCAGAGCAATGACCTGCCCTTGGTGCTGGTGGCTGTCCTTTTCTGGACAGAGACTGGTTGTCCTCTTAAATTGCAGGAGTGGGCTGGAAGTTGACCAACGTGCGGATTGCTACCAACCTGAAAGGGTGAGTGACCTCAAGGTGCTGGAGCAGGGTGGCCCCAGCTGTCCCCAGCTCTGCCACGCACCTGGCAAGGGCCATAGTGGTGACCGTGGTCAAGCTCCATGCTCGCCTCCCTGTTCTGGTGGGATATCTCCTAGTGCAAAGCAGGAGCTGAGGATGGCTKTGTTGGCAGGTACCAGGGGCTGAAGGAGAGCTGCTTCCCGTCCCTGCTGGAGCAATTCCCAACCGCTCACAGATGCAATCGTTACTGCAGCATCCTGGGCCTGAAGACGCTGGAGCCAACCAAGCCCAAGGGCTCCAAGAGTCCCTGCCTGGGCAGGAAATCTGCCCAGTCCAGCCCCCAGCTCCAGAAGAAGGTGCTGACAAGTCCTCAAGGCACCCGCAAGGCTGCTGTGAGCCCCAAGAGCTCCCGGAGAGCTGCAGAAACAGGGGAGGCTTCAACAGCCTCCAAACCCAGGTCAGGAGAGAGCGGCAAAGCTGGCTGCCCGCAGTAGCCAGAGCTGCTGCAGCTGGGACTCCCACTCTGGCCCCCAGCCTGGGTGCAGCATGTGACCAGTGTGGGAAGGGGAGACCCTGGCAGTGGCCATCAGGGGCTCCTGCCTGGCCTGCACGCTCACAGTGTGTGGTGTGTGCTAATTGTGAGCAGTTGGGCCAGGCCTGCGGGGTTGGGAGCCATGGGCCACTACCCCAGTACCTCTGTACAGGAGCTGTTGCTGGAGCCTGCTGGGGCCATGTGCTTCTCCGTGCTTGGACTCACTTTCCTCTCTCAAYTTTCCATAGCCTTCCTTGAGGCAGGGGCAGAGCTCCCTCAGGCTTTGCAGGCACCATGTCCCTGCCTGGCTCCCCAGCAAACTCGGAGTCCTGGAGGCCCTACTGGCTCCCAGCACTTTGTGTCCCTCTCTGTGTCCCCCATAAAGCAACCAGGCCGAGCCTCGCCAGTGCTGTCAAGGATGAGAGCTCYACCAGTGCCCAGGCAGTCCCCTGTGCCCTGGCATGCCCTTTTTTCCTGCAGAGGGTTCCAGCAGTTGCTGCAGGGCTCCTCTGCTATGGTGTAGGGCTCTGCGGTGTTGGCTGGTTCCAGGGCAGAGTGCTCGCACTGGTAGCAGCAGCTGCATAGGGATGGGATTTTGCASCCCTGCCTTCCCCTGCGGGGAAGTCTCTCACCCGCTTGCTGGGGTCTGCTGAGGGTGGGTGGCCATGCTGCTCTGGGTGGTGGCCAGTGCTATGGTAAGGATGCTCTACCTCACATGGGATACCTGGGAGCAGGGCAAAGGGGCAACTTCCCCCCATGCCAGGCTCTGCCTTGGCAGATGGGGGTGTCTAGCCCACAAGGCTCGCTCCTCCTTCCCCTACTGCCATACATAGACCCTGTACACCCCAGCCCCACAGCATGGTCTGGTGCTTAGCATCACCCCTGTTTGGCACATTCTGGGCTCCAGTGACAGCTGGTGGTACCCACTCCAAATCCTGCTACCCCTGGCTCGAGACAGTGATGGACAGGTACAGGAGCTATCTGCTCCATCACCCCACAGAGCATTTCCTTCCTCAGGGCAGGAGAGTGCTGGGTGCCAGTGACAACCACCCTGCAGTGTGGGCTCCCAAATGGTGGCTCAGTGCAGCCTGATGGAGGGAAGGGGCCAGGCTGGGAAGCATGGCATGCTCTGGGCTCCTCCTCYTTCAACGTTGGGTGACTGTAAAATACCGATATACATAATGCAGCTGCATTGGTGACTCGGTGCTCTCGAGTGCAATAAAGCGAGAAGGACTGGCCTGTTCCCTGGCGCTGTGGTCCCTCTGGGAAGGGTGAACCCCAGTACAGCGGGGTGGGTTGGCTTTGTGTCTGGGGGAAGGAARCATTTTCAAGCACTGGCTTTACCCCATCCGTGCCCCAGGGGGSAGAAGAGAGTGGCTGCGGCCAGAGCCTGAGGCTGGCAGCAGGCAGGGGCTCAGCTTGTGCGTTCTGCAGAGGGCCTGGGGTTCAGCCCCATCAAAGGACCTTGTGCTGTGTGCGACAGCTGCAGTCAGGGGCCAGACSGTTTCTGAGGGCGTGCACACAAGGGTTGCCATAATTTATTTGGGAGGAGCTCCATTGTGTCCACAGGTCCAGCACCTAAGGGTGCAGATTGCAAGGTGCATGCAGCTGTCCATCAGCTCAGGACTGGAGAAGACCAAGTGCTCAGGCTTCTCTTGGGGTTTTTTCCACCTTTGGGGATAGACCTTGCAGGCCCTGGTGTTCCCCTAGTTCTAGGCTGTCCCTGCACAGGACGTGTGGTTGTAGTGCCCACAGCACTCTGTGARCCACAGCACGCTCTCTGCCTGCTCAGCCCAGGATCCTGTGAAGGAGAGTGTCCCATTCTGGAGCACTGAGCTGGAAGGAGAGACACAGGGTCAGGATGAGCTGCTGCCCCTTTACCTGGGTCCTTGGGAAGAACCAGATGGCTCCAGAGCCTTCACACCCACCTGGCAAAGAGCTGCTTGCAGCAGGTGTACATGGTGTAGCTGGTCGAGCTGAAGTTGGTGGTGCTGAAGAATGTTGCGCAGTCACCCACCTCAGTTGGCACATGGAGGAGACCTGGGGGATAAGGTCTCCTATTGGGACTTGAGAGGGACCATGGATCCAAATCCCATACCCCACACAAGCTGTGAGTCCCGTACCCCACACCTGCTCACGAGTCCGACACACTGACTATACTTGCTAGCGAATCCTGTACCTGGGMCTGTGCAGGTCCCACGAGCCATCCCAGCTCACCCCCCCAAGAGTTCAGGGAGCTCGTTTCAATACTTCAGAACAGCCCACGGGAGGATGAGGGGCCCTAGGAGAGCTCTTGGGCRTGGACAGCTATTGGCAGTGCCATGAGAGAAGAGCAGGGTTTGGAGGCTCTGGCAGACATGGGGGGACAGGTCAGCCACCTCAGTCCCTGAACCCTGCATTTATGGGGTTTTCAGCCCTGTGCCTGTCCCTCCTTGTATTTCTGAGGCCCCGCTGGCAGCGGGCAGAGATGTACCTGCCAGGCAGGCGTTGAGCATGGAGACRCAGATGCCAGTGAGCAGGGCCCGCAGCACCACAGCGGCCAAGTCACTCTTGCGCTCAGGCACCATGGAGGCTGTGGGGGCAAAATTGACACTGGGATGAGTCAGATCCTTGCTCCAGCTCTAYAGTGGGCTGGGGACACATAGGGACATGTCCTCGGTCCCCAGCTGGCTCTGCCACATAGTGCCCTGCCCACCCCAACTCCTGCTGTCAGGAGGATGTGATGATCCAAGCCAGCATCCAGCGCTCTGTCTGCCCATCCTGGYAGAGTGCTGTGCCCACCCTGCATTCGTGGGGGATCCACCAAAGCCCTAAGCACCCCCAGCACTGGAGTCTCTGTACTTTGCCCTGTGGCTGGGTAACACCTAGGCTTGGGGYGATAGGCATGTGCCCTTGCCCATGGGTGTAGTGCAAAATCATTCCAGTTACTGCATGCAAATCCTGCTTCTTATCTGGCAGAGACTGAACATGGAGGCTTGAGGGCAGGGAATTCCTCCTGCCTCAGCTGAGCTCTTGCTCCCTGGCCCAGGATCCCCCTCCCTTGTGCCCAGGCACCCAAGGCATGGGTCACACTCACCCAGACCTCCCAGAGCAATGCCAATGGAGCTGAGGTTGGCAAATCCACAGAGGGCAAAGGTGGTGATGATCTCGGCTCGCTCCTGGAGGGCATAGCAGCAGGGATGGTCACCCCTGCCCAGGAGCAGCACCAAAACACCCAGAGCAGAGCACCACATTGGAACTCCCAGATAGGCATGACAAGTAGAAGTCCCCCATCCCAACTGTGCTTCTCATTCAGCTATTTTTGGGAGCAAGGATGAAAACTCTCCCTGAGAGAGGCTGGGCTGGAAGAAACAAGGGGCCCTGTTGCACCATGATCCGATCAAGGAGCAGAATAAATGGAAAAGGGCTTTGCTGACTCCTTCCTCCCACACCCAGTGATTATCAAACATCCAAGTGTAGCTGGCCACAGGTCCCCTCCCACTCCCAGCACCATCATCCTGATTCAATGATCTTAGAGGGCTTTTGCAACCTAAATGATTCTATGATCCTCTGCATGCCCACCACCCATCTGCCTGGCCTGGGCCCATGCCCCATTGCAGCTGGCTCCATCCCTGCCCTGTGCCCATCAGGGTGGCAGGTGCCCCTCACAGATATCCATTGCTTCTGGTTCCCATTCCACTCCTCCAGGCCCATCAGACGGTTCTTCTTGTACGTGGCCAGCTGCTGGTACGCCACAAACTCGTTTAGGAAGATCTTGATCCCCAGGAGCTCAGCCACCAGTGGTGAGTCAGCCCAGTCTGCCCCCATGAGAAAGGCCACAGGCATGAGGACATAGGAGCAGATCACCTGGGAAAAGCATTCCGGAAAGGAATGACTCAGAGCTGACCTGCGCAGCTCCCGGATTGGACGTGCACTGCCAGCACTTGCCAAAAACCCAGCAAGAGTCTCAGCAGCCCACTGAGGCAGCGGGCAAGGGTGGGGATGGGTGGCAGTGCTGCTCTTGGGGATACCTGGAAGGTAAGACCCTCGATGTCTACCATCTCCCCGAACCAGCGGAGGGCAGCATTGATGAATTCCAGCACAGCCAAGAAGGCGATGAGGTTGGCCGCAATGTTGGCCACGAGCCCCACGGAGGCAGCAGCCCCATTGCTRGCAGCTTCCAGGATGTTCTGCTCTTCCCTGCATGGAGAAAGACCCCAATGCACTCATCTGGCTGGGCACCCCCCATGCCAGGTCAGCACTCACTCCATGGATGTGTGCACACCACAGGCTCTCCCAGCCTTGGGCCACGCACAGTGTCCATTGTGCCCCAGAGTGTCCCCACATCTTCCCTGCAGTGGAAGGACACATGCAAGCCCCACTCCACTGCCCCTCTCTTCACRCTCACCCACAGGAGAGGCGGATGGTTGCTTTGCCCTTGAACTTGGACTCCTCCACTTCAGGGTAGACGAGTTTGGCCATGGCGAGGGCACAAGGCGCAGCCATCACCGAAGCTGCGATCAGTGATGCCGCATCGATCTGAAACGCGCAGACCAGGGGCATAGACAMCTCTGTGCAAGGCTTTGCCCCATGACCTGCCACCCCAGGCCATCCCAGCACATGGCTGAGGGCATCCCAGCATTGGCTGGCATCAGCCAGTGACACTTGGAGCCGTCCAGRGCTCTCCACTTGCTTAGGATGGGAAAATTGGCTGGTTTTCCCATATAAGTAGCAGTGCACATGGGGCAGCTCGCCTGGATGAGACATTGCTGCAGCTGCAGCAATTGTAACCTTGGTGATGTTAATCTCTCCTGCTGTTTGACTTAATCATAATGGTTCTTGTCCCTTCCTTGTCCCTTTTGACTGGTGTCAGAGCAATAGGTTGTGTAACACTCTGAACTTCTACCTGCTGACGAAGGGCCAAGCTCCAGACTCACCCCTCCCCTGGCAACGTCTCATTTCTCTGACCTTCCACCCTTAGTTCCCCATTTAAGGAGACTAATTAATGTTTAAATAGCAGGAGCTTGGGCAGCAGGTTAAGGGGAAGGTTTATTCAGAGCACTGATGGACTGGAGAGGGCATCCCTGGGGGGCTGGAGCTAGGAGTGCCCAGGCAATGCTGGAGAAGCAGAGATTGTTCAGTTGGAAGAAAAGAGGAAGGAGGGTGGGTACTGCTGTTTCTATTTAAAAGGGGATTGGAGGGAAGACACTGCTCAGTGATACCCAGTGAAAACGTGAGAATCATTGGCAGTTTCAGTTGAATATAAGGAAAAACTGTTTCTTGTGACTGAGGCACCTATGAGGGAAACCAGAGAGGTTGGGGGAGATATCCATCCATGGGGATGTCTACCACCAACGTGGGCAAGGCCCTGGGCATCCCCAGGGGCTTTGGTAAGCACCTCAATTGGCAGAAGGGTGGATCAGAGACCCTCGCAGAGGATCTTTCCAGGCTATATTATCCCGTGATTCTGTGGGATTTGCCCTGCTTGCTGTGCAGGGACACATGGTAAGGGCTCTGGGGTTCTGACCAGGCCCACAAAGGTGAGGCTGGATGGGGTGAATTGGGACAAGGTGAGTCTGGACACCCTGCTCTCATCCTGCTTATGGAAAGGGACCATGGGRCACCTGCTGGGGGTCTTCTCCCATCCTCAAGCCCAGGGCAGTTCTTGCATGTCAGAACCCCATAGCACGGAGCATGTAGATCCAACTGCTCATGCACTCACCCCAAAAGATATGTAGGCACCCAGCACCGTGCCTGCGATGGTGGAAAAGCCACCAGCCATCACAGCATGCATTTCTGACATGGTCATGTCACCGAGGTATGGGCGGATGAGCAGCGGGGCTTCRGTCTGTGGAACAGAAAAAACTGCAGTCCTTGGGATGGGGCCACACAGGGCCACAGGTCTAGGGAGGGAGGAGACCCTTTCTCCAGGGCAGGCTCAGATGCAAGCACTGAGGATCTGATGCCCAGGACCTTACCAGTCCCACGAAAATGTTCCCCGCCACACTGAGAGTCTCAGTGGGAGTGGTGCCCATCGAGACTTGAAGCAGCCAGGAGATCTGGGAAAGACAATGCCACTGTGTTAGCAGAGGGTCCTGGCACCTTGCCACCATACACATGAAGCTGGGCACTGCTTGGCCCCAGCACAGAGGTGGCCGGGAAGCATCCCACCCCCAGACCAGGTGGAAACATCAGCTCTAGAGTTCGGCTCTTTCAGCTGAGAAGGGCATACTAAAAAGAGGGGGTTTGTGTCTATTCTCTTAGGCAGGACAAATCACCCCAGATTAGTACCCATGACAGTTTTCCTGGAACATCCCTCAGCTGACCGTAGCAGACAGAGAACCCACCAGTTCTTCTCCTTTCTACTGCATCCCAGATGYAGGAGTGAGGCCCTACCTTGAGAATAAGCCACTGCATGACACCGAGGTAGTAGAGGATGGACATCACACAACTGAAGAAAACAATGATGGGCAGGCTCTGCAGATAAGGCACAGTGTTAAAGAAGAGCTGAGCCGTAAATCCCAGCACCTGTGGGCACTGGGCTGGGCATGGTGTGGTACTGCACAGGCAGCCCACACTACTGGGGTGCCACAACACTCAGCCAGGTTGGCAGGAGGGACAGGGACCAGTGCAAATCCTCCATGGCACTCAGGAGGTCCACAGGTGGGTACACAGCTGAGGGAGATCCATCTCAGAGATGGTTGAGCTCTACTGCAGATCTGGCTGCATTTAGCTCTCTGCCCTCCAGGACCCAGCAAAGATCCAGACCACAATAAAACTTCCCCATGCCCCATTCCCTGGCTGACCTGGAAGGCAAAGACTTCTTGAATGAGTGTGTTCCCAAAGACGAAGCTGGAACCAGCTGTGGTGTAACTCAGGAAGTACTGTAAGGGAAGAAGTTACATAGTAGGACAGAGATCTCGTCAGGTCCTTCCCTAATACTTCATTCTGCCTAGAGAGGGGCTGTGCCCCCAGTCCCACAGCTCACTTCACTGCACACCAGAGAATGACCCTCTGAGACCTAAGCTGGAGACCCTGGTGGGCCGTCCCAAAGCCACAGGGTTCTCCTGCAGTCTGCACGGGAGAGCACACCAAGGGCTCTGGGCTGCTGCACAAAACCAGGGTAGAGTTGGCTTCCCTCCAGTCCCAAACAAAAGTGTTTGTGAGCATGCAATCCCTGCCATGTCCCCTCCCCATGCCATACTCTGCTTTTCCTGTTAATGCCAGGGTGGGATGAGTAGATGCAGTACCTGGATCTGGTTTCCCAGCCACTGGAAAGCTTGGGTGCCAGGAGTTGTTCGGAGGACAAAGAGTCCGAGTAGGAACTCCAAACCAAGACCCCAGAAAACAGCTCTCCAGGATACCTGGGGACAAAAAGCAGAACAGGAGCTGAAATGTTGTCAAGGCCTACAGACTTTCCCCTCTGGTTTCCAGCTGCTGCAACAGCAACACATGGCAAACACCACACACTGCCCTGGGTGAAGGTCCTGGGGAAATGGATAAAGTGTCACARAAACCAACAAACATGGTTTGGTGACAGAGCCAGAAATGAGTTGGTGGGACTCTGGAAGTGGCTGGAACATAACCTGCCAGGCTGACCCAGGAGACAAGCACAAGGACCTTGTAATGACTGGTAGCACAGACCTGCTAGACTGAAACCAGCTGTTCAATAACGTTTTGGAGGGGCAGGATGGAGGGACTGCCCAAAGCATTGCAGCAGGTTGAGCTGGAAGACCAAGGCMCCCAAGGCACCTGAAGCTCAGGTGTGGGTCTAGTTCTGGGTTTCTGGGTCTGACCCACTATCAGGGACACGACAGAAAATCGGACAGAGGCAACGTAGGGAGCCCTGGGTTGGGAAGTGGGAAGGAAAGCAATGGGAAGGAGAGCAGTGAGGTGACTTTGGGGTCCATCCACCCAACCAGTTCAGCTCCCCAGGCTGCGCCCAGCTCTGCTGGGCTTCTGCTTCCTCCAGGGCAGTGGATGGCAGAGGGAAGAAAGCGCTCGTTCTCCTGTGCTGGGTGGCCACCTCCTGCAAGGGGACCGATGGCTGTCACACCTGAAACACGTACCGCACGGTGGTGCTTGGAGCASAGAAACAGGAACAGCACCAAAAAGGCGAAGCCACCTAATGAGATGAGCTGCTCTGGGTGTCTGCCAGTGTCCAAAACCAGCCACACAATCAGGCCTGCCAGTAGGGCGACCCATAGGAACCTGCAGAGCAAACCCCAGACTGTCAGCGAGATGATGTCCCCATAGGAAGAACAGCTCATGAAGGGCAAAAGCCAATTGTGATGGAATTGCTGCTGTAAGGTCCATGTATCTGAAAGAAACTTGGGGCTCAGACACCAGCAAGGGGTGTGAACAGCCATCACGCTAGTGAGCAGAGCAGCAAGATATTTCTGCCATGGCCCTTAAGTAGTTCGCAGGTTGGGCCATGCTCACCGTTTGTGATGTGCCAGCCTGGCAGTAGAGCACATGCCCAGTGACAYTGGCTGTGGTTGTGCTGGCAGAGCCATGGGAGGGTCCCAGGTGCTGGGAAGGATATGGCCCTGCCTTCTCCTGACTCACCATTTCAGCCATGGCCAGGACTTTTGGAAGCATTCTCCAACGGGGTGGAGGAGTAGCAGAACCTTTGCCCCACAGTGCTTCTTGAAGATGTCCCAGCAGATGAAGAAGACAGCCACAGCAGTCAGGACCACCAAGGCAAGGGCTCGCTGGAAGTTGAGGTAACAGGCCGCAATGAAGTAGCACAGGTAGGCTGGAGAAGGCACATTGAGGGACGAGAAACATCAGGGCTGTAGGATCACAGTTTCATAACTAACTGGRGCCAACCATGAGGTTCATTTCCTCCAAATGTACTTCCCTGGCCACCCTGGAGGATTCTATCCTTGCAGGAGGAGACCTTAGGGAGCGCCACCCCAGCAGGGAGAAAAAGGGGCACAGTAAACCCTTTGGGCAGGTAGAGAAAAGACAGGGGGACAGTGAGRTGAAGATAGAAGTGGACAGGGGTGCTAGGGTGAGGAGGGGACAGTGAGGCTGCTGGAAGTGGATACGACCTCCACACACATGACGGTGTTCAATAGGTGGAGTCTGGAGGTACAGCCAGCCAAGGGGGTGGGGGCCTGAAGTCTCAGCGCCAAGAAGTCCTCACCTACTCCAAGGATCCCCAGCCCGACTCTTCTCAGCGCTTTGGCATGAGCCTTGCAGAAATGCTTTGCTTTGGATGCCGGCTGCAGGGCCTTCCTGGGGAGAGTCACATGCCAGAGACGTGAGAGACACAGRAGGTGGACGTGCAAGATCAGCCCAAGCCAAGCCAGACCACCCCAATTGCGGCCAACCCACAGGACCCAGGCCATGACCACGGCTCCCACTGGGCACTTCCAGCAGCAGGAGGTGGTACAGGTGTGATGTGATGACACACCCCAGCACCCCCAGCATCACCTACTGTGGGGACAGAGACCTGCCAATGCCACCCTTCAAGGCCACGTGGAGCCATCAGAACATTTGTCCCCCCTGTATGCTCAATACCACCTGAGTCTGCTCCCAAAACAGATTTGTCTCTGGCAGAGCTCATGCATCTGTGTGGACTATCCCACCTGCAGTAGGAGGAGAATCTCCCTTTCCCTTCTCTTCTCTCCTCTTGGCTCTCGCTGCAGGGACCAACATATTCCTCAGAGTGTCTATTCTCTCCCTGGAAAACATCATTAACTGGAGCACTCTGTGGGGATGGGAGGGGAAGGGAAGGGAAGGGAAGGGAAGGGAAGGG